TAAAAGTTGTTTATTCTGATCTACTCTGTTGCATTATGTTATATTATATTAAAAAATCCATGTATCTATTATAATATATCTGAATATTAAAAGAAACAATAAATCGCGACGGTTTTTAGTAATGTAAATTAATAAATATCCCTTCGTTGCAGCCAATCAGCTTATACAAATCGCGATTCTTACCTTTTTTTTTCCTTGTAAATAGAATGAATGTTGTGAAGAAAATTGTGAGTATTTATAGTGCTTGAATATTTAATAATATTTCACATCAGTGATAAAGAAAGAAAAATAAATGGCATAACTCTGATAAAATTTTGCTTTTCTCTGAGTTTTTACCCACTGAAAACTAAATGCGTAAAAACATATAAAACTATATGTTGCTTAACCATTCCTACGAGAAAATAATGTAATAAATTTAGAATGAACAATTTACTCTGTGCGCGAGTGTATAGTCTTATTGTGGGAAAAATGATAAAACATCAATAAATTTTGTCTGCTATATGTCAAATGATCTACTTTCTTATTTATATATTCAATACATCATTCCCGGGCAAATTTAATTTTGAAAAGATTTTTTCTGGTCGAATAAATACATATCAAAATTAAAACTATATGTTAGAATCTCATATACTTTTTCTACAGTCTTTCATTTGATTAATCACAATAAACGAAAAAAAATGTTGAATTTACTATTAATAGGTCAACTTCTGTGAAGTACTGATAGAAAAGAAAAAACTGCCAAACCAGCGTCAATATATGAAGTAATCAAAACTATTTTATCAAAAACTATTACGCTCGTTTTTTTGTCATCACGATACAAGTAGAATATATCGAGTAAGAGGCAATCGCACATAAAAAAAAACATGTGATATCTCGTCTAGAGAAACATCTGGAAGTTGATAAGAAAAAACGAAAAAAATTTTTTGGGCAAAAAGAGAGAGGATACTTATTCAACAGAATCATTGCCTGGAGAAAAATAATTGTATCGTTCCATCATGTAAATCAAACCTCGCTCATTATTTATTTTACCTATTGATAATTGCCATTACCAAAATAGAAATAGAAAAAATTACAATAAAGTTAAACTTTTACATGATTATATGTTTTTTTAATTTTTTTTTATTAAAAAGTTTCTAAAAATAACTTCAAACCAATTTAGAAAAAACATTTTTTTCGCGAGAAAACAAAATACATCTCAGTTCTAAAACTATTTGATTTGTATAAAAAATAACTGTACCATAAATTTTGCTGTGCATAACCAGTAGATATTATCATCCATTGTATTTATTTCATCAGACGGAAGATTTTGTCCATTGATAATGAATTTTTTTGATAGATATTGTTGTTTGTATAGTAGGAAGTTTCTTCCGACGACTTTGTAATTCTTGTACAAGCAGGTTCGAGAAAATTTAATTTCTTTCTAAGATTGGTTAAATCATCAACAGAATTAATTTATCTTCATCATTCATTAAATCATAAGCATTTTCATTAAAATTCATAGGAAATGATGGGCAACCAAACATATGTTCAAAACGTTCATCAAATAGTTATCATCATTCTATTAATTTCATTAAATGATAATAATGATGTTGAATCTTCTTCATTAGATATATGAATATAAGTTACTAAAAGACATCATTCTAATATTAATAGAAATGACCAACTATAAGGCATTCCTCAGGGAATTATCAGACATGTTGTTTATATTAAAATAACTATGATTATGCACTAAAATGTATTTATATTATTGAGAATACGATGATAATCAATGTACGTGTCATCTATCACATCGTTTTATAAATTTCATATTCGTTATTTTTTCTCTCTTTGTATCTGTTCTCAATCATGTAAAACTAAAAACATAGATTGATCCTCGAACTGATTTCGTACCAGAACTGCCAATAGGCCATTTTTTTACATTTGATAATCCATTTCCACCACAGTACAAACACAAAATTTACTATCCAATTGTATGGATCTAAACAAATTGTTCTATCAGCCAATATAAGTTCTTTGATACTAAATTGACATTCGATTCAAGTATTTGTTGTTGAAATTAAATGAACCTGTCAAAGTACTTCCAAATAATAATGCAATGCATCACAATTTGATTTCGAAACGTAAGAGCCAAGACAATAACTTTAGTTTGGTTTCATATTATATGAACGGATCAGATCAGGTCGGCAACTCTGTTACTTCCTAAATTTGTCTAATCTTTCCATGTGATAAGAACATTCGATTAATTTTTTAAAGCCGATATAAATTAAAAAAGAATCGGGAAATTATTTTTTGTTTGATTCTATAGAATCTATCTCAAAAGTAAATTATTGTCATAATTAAAATAACGAAACTAGTATTTTTGGTAAGATATCAATGTCACAAACAATGCGCTTTTCTGGCGATAGTGTCTTCAGAAAAATTTTAATATACCAAGAACGGAACAATATTGTTTCAAACGGCTTGCTTCAGAATTCTTGAAACTATTTCCTCTACAACATATATTAAATTGAGCAACATCTGTGGGAGTCGGCGGTGGCTTATGTGGACTGGCTCTTATATACCTAAATTGTTAATAACTTAAAATTTGAATAACTTAATTCAAGCTCGCCATCATCAGCTCATATTTTTAATTTGGTAGTATCTCATTGAAGGTGATAGTTTGACTCGAACATAGACATAGTTCATCAAATCAACTGACATGACAAACAGTTTCATTGTCAGAGGTATTGTCGCGAAAAAGGGAGAGCACGACTCGAGCCTTACGTGGCATTATAAATCAGTTCAGATGTCATTAAGAACACTTGAATCAGATGATCTCGATTTCGCACAGATCTACAACAGTATCGTTGTTGTTAAGTGGAGAAAAGGCAAATACAAACAAGCTCTTGAATCATACAACAAGGCATTGGACATTTGAAAGTGAACTTACGGCGAGAAGCATCCTAAAATAGCCACGTACTTGAATAACATGGCTGGTACCTATCAGAATGAAAAGAAATACTTGGAGGCATTTGTGTGTCACCAGATGGCATTGTCCATTTGCATAACATATCTTCCGATCGATCATCCTGGCTTAGCTATGTCGTATAATAACATTACCATCGTTTATTGATATCTCGGTCAATTTAATTTTGCATTAGAGCATGGAAATCTTTTTTTGACAATCTTCAAAAATTTTCTATCTCATGAACATTCTCATGTTGCAACAGTGCTTGGAAATATAGGACTTATTCATGAGAACAAAAAATGATTTGCAACAAGCTTTATTTTATTACAAAAAGTCAGTCACCAGATATCGTCACTCATTGTTTCTCACACATCATGACCTTGTACAAATTGATAAAGAAAGTACTTGATCGGACGGATACAGAAAAATGTCATGAAATGCAAACCGAAAGGTACAATATATCTTGAAGTGTGGGCGCTGATGGATGTGCCTGTGTGGTTTTTCTTTTCACCCATTCAATCACTCACATCAATATCCTAAGATAACCACCTATCCGAACCTCACAGCAGACATCTCTGTTATTTGCTTTAATTCGTCATCGTAACATGTATTTTGATTAGATTAAGTTATTTACTTCTTGAAGTAATCATAATAAACAACTCTTAGGTTTTTTTTTCTAAAAGCACCTCACATGCCGTTTGCTTTTACATGTACTACTTTTCAAGAAGAAAGAGAATCTGTGAAATGTGTAAGAAACAGTAAACAAAGAAGTTGATCATTACGCTTTACTCGAAGAGATAAATGATCACATCGACTTAGATGCATGCTATAATGAAGTAATAAAGGGAATAATAAAGAAATATGTACCTTACCAAAACAGTATGTCCTTAAAAAAATATATTGAAAGGATAAGATTTGTTTTGTTTCAATTATATGAAAAGAATTTTGCTTATTACAAATAAATCTCGATAAAAGTCACTTTTTTGTTAATATATTTCCAAGTATATTCATCATTGTCTTCATATTAGTTTGAATTTCATCAATTTGTATTTTTAATTCCTTTATTGTTTGTTGATAATTTCGAAGTTCGTAACTAAGTAATCGTTCACGTTCAAGTATTTCAGCATTCTGATGTAAATAATCAGGTGATGCATTTTGTCGACCTTGTAATTGTCGAAAAAATGTTTCATTACATTCATCAATAAATTCTCGTGTTAATAATAAATGTGCATGAGCATGACAATCAATTGCATGCGTACTATAAGAACCACCTGTTTCCCATTTACCGAAATTAAGTGCAATAGTATTAACTGGCCATTGAATATTATTACGATTTGTTTGTAAATAAAGTTCAGAATAAAGAAAACGACATGTATAAATAACTGTTAACCAAAATAATGGTAAACAAGCCATTTTACGATTAGTTATATGCCAAGGTGGTGTTGCATACATAACAAGATCACGTACTGTTTCACGTTTACTAGTAAAAATAAAACTAGATGTTTGCCAATGAAAGTTAAGACCATAATCAATATTATTGTCATTTGTTAATATAGAAATATGTGAATTTAGCACTAAAAGAACAGGACATTTTATTATCGAAACGATATGAAACTTTCAATACGTAATAGATCGTAGAAAATATTTTAAAAATAATAACATCTATCAAGAATATTTTCTAGTCTTGTTATCTATAATTTTGAAAGACCAATTAACGAATCGATTTAAGAGTAGTTTTTTCCTTCTTTTTTGACTGCTACTGATATCCAAGGATGGTATAACCGATCAAACACCAAAAGTAAAGAGACACCTGTTTGAGGAGACAAGTTTTGAAGTGAACTATTGCAATTTTTTTCGAGAAATTCGGATTTTCATACCGTAGCATTCTGGCATATTATGATCTTCATCGAGATTTTATAGGATTGAACTGAAATTTTTTTTGTTGAGATGTCTAAGATTATATCTCAGAGGTAATTTTAAGCTTTCCCCAAAATCTCACTTTCACTTTTTTATGAGAGAAATATGTAAATGTGCGGTGTCAAGGCCGAGGCCTTGACTTCCAGAATCCTGTAAATTCAGGTAGGAAAGTCAAATACGAAAACAGTCGATATTATCTCTGAAGACTACTTCCAAGTATCAATGATGAAAATTTCAGTCCGATAGAACAAAATTAAATGGGGGAGAGGGGTCATAAGCAACTAGGATGCTGCTCTATAGAAAATCGCAAAAATCCACTTCAAAATTTGTTTCTATGAACATGTGTCTCCTTACTTTTAGTATTCTATCTGTGATAAAAATTTCAACTTGATCGGTTGTACCGTCTTCGAGCAGTAGAAGCGGTCAAAACAGAAGAGGAGCACCTTTAAGTTCTTATGTAAATCTTTTTGGAATAGTTTAGACACTTTTACTGAAAAGTTTCTCGCTCTATATTTTGTCATTTCTCTCTAGATGATTTACTTGATTTGACTGGCCATTGCATAGCAATAGTACTATTAACAAAAAATTGTCCACATTTTTGTAAACCATCATCACGTAACATTGAACCATTTTCTAAACAAATCAATGTTGAATGAAGAGCATGCGCATATTTACCACCTTCTTTCTCACATGTTGTTTGATAACGACAATGTCGTTCAGATACAAGTGGTTCAAATTTTGGTTCTGATAAATGTTCATATTTAACAAAATGACGATATTTATCAACATATGTACGAGCTTTATTAAGAAAATCTATTCGTTGTTCTTGTTCATTTTTTTGCCAATAATAATCAAACCAAACAACAGGATCTAAATTGAGACGTAATTCCCAAAGATTGTTTAAATGATGATCAGAATTATAGAATGAAGCTGGACGTAATTCAATACGAAATTGTTTATTAAATGGTAATTGCGTTTCTTGACATAATGTTTGAATTTTATGAAGCATTTTACTAGTTAATCGAGCTAATTGAATACTTAATTCATTTATATTTGCTTTGTCATTTGTTATATCAAAATATGGTGTGTTCATACCTACTAATACTGGTTCACCAGGAAGAAAATCAATTTCATAATCAATTGATGTTTGAATCGAAGTTTGATATGATGATAATGCATTTATAACTGCCTTAAAAAAAAGATTAGAAATATGTTTCAAATTTTAGAAAATATTTTTCATGCAGACTCTTTGTTTTTCTTCATGAATTTTTTGTTGAGTAAGTCTTATTTCATCCGATTGTAAGATCCATTGATAATCTGACAAAACTAGATTATCTTGATATCGATGTTGTTTAAATGTTGTTAATGATGTACTACGTATTGGAGGAGAATATGTTGATTTTTTTGAAAGAATTCTTTGATATCGTTTTTCGAATGGTATCTCATTGGCCATTATTATAAGAGAACATCATATCCACGTGGGTTTATTTAAAAAATAAAAAGAAGAAAATAAAAACAAGTGAAGATAAGAACATAAAACAAAGCAAACTATTCCACTTGATTCTTTTTTCATTGGTTCAAGTTTACTTTTTTATCTTATAGTTGAAAGTGTTAATTTGAGGGCAATATGATAGAATTACGATAGAGTATCTCTAACTTTCAAATGATCTTCGTAAGCCTTCATGAGACTAAAAATAGCCCATTCTTATGGATTTTAAGGTTCAGATTTCAAATATTATTTCTATAAAGAAAAATGATGCAGACACAATAGTATATATGTATTCTATTTTTAAGTTCTATTCCTTAAATATCTTTTCTGCTTCTCAACAAGAATAAAACAAACGAACATTGATATGTGGCGTTACTATAGAAATATCTCATTCTATATTCCCAACCCATATCCAATATCATTTTGACGAAAAAACACAAAACAATTTTCTAAAGTAAATTTGTGGTACCAAATATGGTTGTTTTGATAGATATTCAATCAACTGAGTATCTCAATCCGATCTAATGATTACATTTTAGATACTTTGTTTCATATCACTTAGTTCAATTAAATTCTATTTAGATGACTTTCAAAAAACAACCTTGCAGTGTTATAGCCAATCAAAGAAGTTTTATGCTGAGTTATTGTCTCCAGCATGTTATCGACTGTTCAAAGGAACTGTTAATCTAAACCTGAGCACTATTCTGTACATTACCACAGTAAAACAAACTACATATGAGCTGAAATGTATCGGCATTCACTGTCTGTTTCACTATATAATAAGAACAATGTGACACATAATGTTTGTAAAACCACTAATCAGGAAACATAATAAATCAGTGTCGAGTGCAAACGAAACTGACCTAAGAAGTTACGTATATTATTCAAGTACAAATAAGTATACATGTTACGTTTGAGTGAAAAAGATGGAGATAGTGCAAAGCAATATAACAGGTCGCAATGAATCTGATATGAAAGAGAAGATAACCGTAATCTAAAACATGTTCTTAGAACGTTGTCGCATCTATACACAACAACTTATAGAACAGTATGACGTACATTCTTTGATTATGTCAGCCACACATACTTTTGCGCCCTCAATTGTCTAACAATCCGTTCTTTTTTTCTTTTGTGGAACAAATCTTCATGAAATTTCTCCCTATAAACGAAAAAACCATTCCCGCTGTAATGTTTTTCGTTTGGTTGTGTGTTTGTAATATTGAGCATGCGAACAACCGTATTTATAGAAAAAAAGAACTTCTACTTCTTTAGATATTTAACTGAATATTTGTGTTCTCAAAAATGGTGAAATCCGATGTGTGAAACTGGTTAAAGACTCGATATGATCCGACATGTTTCGATGCTTGGAAACCAGTGGATTTGATTGTGATAATTAGAAACTTAGGGATATTCTCCAAAGGGCCTGCACGTTGCATAGTAGTATAGGATCTGTCGCATCATTTCAGATACAGTCAGATTGAAGTTTCCGAAAATCTTTCATCAAATTCTATAAAAAAAAATGGCTTCAAAACTAAAATAGTCTTCTATTTGTAAAGAAAACTTTTACAATTCAAGTTTCCAGAATTCATATCAATGAATGATTCAAGAATCCATTGCTAATATAGACGTGCCTTGTCAGAAAGTTATTCATTTGTATTGATATTATCGCCATAGCAAGTATCTTCATAAATAACGACTTACTGTTACTTAGATATAGTTTGCTAGTTATGAATATAATTGTGTTAATAGTTTCAACGGAATTTTTAGAAGTTTGTGAGATAGAGTTAGATTTCATTTGTTATGATTCGACGATCAGATTCCGTATGATCAAATCGGATATTTTCGAAGAAGTCAAATGCGAAGTTTAGTTATGAGCAATTCTACTCTGCTCAATTACATAGACTAGAGTGTTCACGATAAATGGTGTCGTCAAAAATCTCTAATGTCAAACACAATCATTTGTGAGATTTACATTGATTGGCTTGAATCATGGGGGTCGTTACATGTATGGATGTCGTTCAATGTTATTTTGTTATTGATTGCTTATGTGTCCGAGAAAAAAAGCAGCTAGGTACAATGTATATTTACTCTCAAGTCAAAACAAATTCTATTGACAAATATAATACTGCAAGGCTTGTCTTTCCTATCACTGCATTGTTTGTTAATTTTTGATGGTTTCTGTTAATGCTAGGAGAGAAACAGCATACTTTTGTACTTTAATGTACTTTTCGACGTGAAATACGTTGTTTTCCCCTAGTCTTCTATACCAACAAACATAGATACAACTTTAACTTCAATTAGTCATTTAAAATAAATCGGTTTATATTGAGAACTAATTGTCAACAATTGAGCACCGTATTTGTAATATGATAAAGCGAGATCCTCTGAATAAAAACTACTACAAAGAACTAACGAATTAAACTCTACGAATTCGTCCGCATTACGAAATTCATATGGATAAAGGATTCAATCAAGATATTGGTTCAATTCTCCAATTTTGCTCAAATTCGGTACATGATAATGATCAATTGTCACAATTATACGATCAAATATTATACATTCTATTAAATCAGTATTCAAATCAACATCCACGAAAAAAATTTTTCTTCTCATCGAAATTGATATGATGAACAGCAGCATTATTACTACAACTACTATCGAAGACTTCTATGTTTAGTTCTAACAGTTGCATAATCTTAAGTAAGAGTATGTCGTAAAAATGATGGTAGAAAACAACCAAATTGATCATAGAGTATATAATCCACATATTCAAATACTTCTGCTGGATTATTTGACCAAAGTCTAAATATAGAATTATGAGAAATGAATTTCATATGATAAATTTTCACACATTTTAATTAATACAGTTTTGGTAGAATAAATTCAATATCTCAATCTGCTGTCGGCATGTTAAAAGAACATATTTTTAATCAAAAGGTTCGAGTCTAAATTCGCAACAAAACTGCGTATTATTATTAATAAAAGACTGCTTTATATACATTTTCTTTTACGTGATACAAAAGATTACTCAAATATATGCAGCTTTCCAACTAAGATTTTTATGCAAAGTTTTACTATGACATTTGTCATTTTTTTTTGAATCGATGTTAAATTGGATAATCTATCTAAGTTTTTTGAAAATCCCTTGAAAATATCCTTCATAGTAATTTTGAGAGTTTTTTAAACAATGAAGCTTTTTCTTCAGTTAAAGCTCAGTTGCATAGTAATTATTTGGACACAAAAAAAAAATACAGAATTTCGTTCACGACAAGATTACGTGGTCGTTGAATCACAGCGCGATATGTTTTTGTTAAAATTCCCGAAAAACCGAGCAAGCCCCAAAATGAATATAAGACTTTCTTTTTCATTTATTATGTTCTGAATTTGAACATGAAACTGTCATTTAAAGCTTTGAAAAGATAAACGATCTCATCGAAAATATTTTCATCTTTTTAGAAACCTTGTGACTTTCTCAGTAACGATATCACATGGTTTTTTTTTCGTTTGTTTTAAGTAAAAGTGAAGTTCAATATTTTGTCGAGTTTAAAATTCTACTTCTTTTGATGTATGAATGAATAGTCAATGATTGAAAAACTGTATTTACAATTAGTTCGACTCATTATGACTCACCCATTATTTTTTAAAATTCATCTTTAGAAATAATAGAACATATCACATTTTACTTGGAGCCAAGGAAACCTTTGTTGAATCAGCTTTATGACGAATCTAATCAAGAAATTACCGAAGTCTATCTTCTATTATTCTAGATCATATCATCACTAGCGTTCGCCTAACAATAAAGTTTTTGTGCATAACACGTTTTGCTAATAGTTTTCTTTAGCATTTTGATATTAGAGAGATCTTTATATTTATTTTTTTTATTTTTCCATTAAATTTATTTCGTAAAGTTCATGTGGCGGCTCAATTAATCCATTTTCTCTTTCTCTTGTATAACCAAGTGGATTATTTATATATTTTATACCATCACCAATATCCAATATCATTTTACGATGACTATGACCTAATAAAAAAAAAAGTCTTTTTTTTAGCATAGAATGTTTGGTTGATACTACTAACCAAATATGTGTATTTGTGGTTTAATTAATTTTAATTGCTCATCTAATAATTCAGTTCCAGCCACTAATGAAAAATTAGCTGTCAATGTTCCGCTTGCTATTTCTTCATTTTGTGGTGTGTTGTTTTGACTTTCGAGCCATTTTTGTCGACGACGAGACATTTCACTACGATATGCCTGCATTAATTTTCTATGTTTAAAGAAAATAAGGAATTTTGTATGTAATAAACCTAGTAATACTGTCATTCAATACATACTTGCTTGTTAAAAAATGTGAAAATGTTATGATTTTTGAGTTGCTTTTATTCTTATTTAAACTGGATAAATGTTGCTCATTTAGATTAACAAAATATTTTGCAGCTTCACGTTGTGGTACTTCCTAAATTTTTTTTGTTAAAAAAAAAATACAATATAAAATCTATCAAAAATATAAATCATAGCTTTTCATACATCTGTCCATTGACATCGATAATAATCCGTCCAGAGTTGTAAGTCACTTTCAATATTTGGAACCGGCATATGTAAACTATCATCATACCTAAAAAGAATATAAGTAAATAGTAAAGAAAATATTCATATACTGCGCGAATATGATAGAAAGAAAAGGCGACTATAATGTTTTGACTAGAGAACGGAATATATGTAGGCTAGTAGAGATAGACCTCCTCCTCTATCTAATAATGCATGCATTAGCGGGTTCTACACTGCGTACTATTGACATATCAATACGTGGTGCTGTAGTATCTACGATACAAATGCTCAATAGAGCAGCTACCGGTGAAACTAGAACTGTAGCTCCTCTTCTGTTTTGGGAAGAGTAATGAAGAGTGTAGCTACTTTATTATCACTATATATTCTTGATAACACGACACACTTAGCGAGGGTACCACTAGTCACTGCCCAACCAAAATAAGAGGAGTGTTAGTGTTCTGGCCCTATCATTATACACATCATCAGATAGAAGAAGTCTATTTTCACAAGCCTACATATATCTCACTCTATAGTCATCTTTTTGTAGAGACAAAATCACAAGGCTGTTGAATGAAAAAATTAGGGAAAATACTTAATAAATCTTCCGAATCAAAATAGTTTTTCTTGCATTTATTTTAGAAAGACATCAGTTGTGTATCTAGCGATTGGGCAATTGCCTACATCTTGAAAAGTTATGGTCCAAGAATTTTTTTTTTGGAAATAGTAATAACTGTCCATAGTTGCCTACTTCTGAAAACAGTTTGACTGATAAATTACTTTCAAATAAAAAATCTCTGACTGCACCACTGAAAGACATATAGGTTACGTAAAAGTATCATTTAAATTTATATTCTCTAATTTTTTTGTTAAGGGAGATAAATTTGAGAGTAAAACATCAATACAACACTAACCATCCATACAAGGGTACAATAGTTACACCTTGACTAGTAACACCAGGTCTTGTATGTATACCAATATCATCGCAAATTTCTAATATCTAAGAAAACGAAATAAATGTATAAATACTGAATAGAATAATAATTATATATTATTATTTTCTACATAGTGAAATTTTTCTATGGAATTATAAATTTGTAATTCTTCATCTTCTCTTAATGATTTTGTCCATAATTCATGATTGCCCGGACAATAGTAAACATCTTTAAATTTTGACTTGAATAATTTTAATGTATGTACTAATTTGGATAGAACATGTGTAACATCACCTAGAATACTCAAATATAATTTTGTAACAGAACATTTTTTTAAAAATATATAACACTAACCTGCAATAATTACTGTATCATTTAAATATTTATCATTTGACAATTTTTCAACCCATTTCATATTCTCATCATCATCCACATGAAGATCTGAGATAGTATATATCTTTTCATCGGACATTTTAACAAAAAAAAAAGGAAAAAAAAACAACAAATTAAACAGTGTGCGAATTTTATTATATAAGATGCTTGAATAAATAATAACTACATGCATCCACGTGTGTTTAAATAGGTAATTGTGAGCAAAGAACAGAATGAAAAAAAAGGTATTCGATCGACTATCATCATATCGTTTCTTTTCTTTTATTACTTGCATTGCACAACTCATAGTTTATAATTTATTGTATTGGCTATTTGTCAATCATGATTCATTCGGAGTTACTAATAATTGGTCATATTTAATCTCTAAAATTTATATACTGAAGAATGATGTTAAAAGAACCATGTAATATGGCTACTACTGATTGACTATTTCGTTTTTTTAATGAAAGTTTTCGGTATAAAAAAAAAACGATGTTGGAAGCTTTCGAGCACAGAGAACATGAATTTGACTTCGATTAATCTGGAGAGGCAACAGCTAATTGAGATGATTGCACATTTCTATTAGTCTAACTTGAATTTCAGAAGATGCTGCATAATCATTATACTCATACGATTCTTCCGCTAGCACTAAAATATGGAAATGAAATCTTTAGAGAAGATTAGACATTTCAAGAGGACAATATAAATCCTCACATTCAGCACTAACTCCAGCAATAATGCTACGAAAAGTTTCCGTCTTTCATAGACAAGAATCATTGATCACTAATGATTTCAGATTTAAAATGATTGTATCAGCAAATTTGTTGCAATCATCAATTGAAAGAAAGTAACATCGAAAGACATATTTATTGGAAAATTGAAACATGCAATCAAAAAGCCATTTGACATGACGCTGTTTTACAAAATTGTTCGTCTTGTACTGTTTGTTTGAAACATACATGAGAAACTATTGGATATTGTCCGTATAACTAAAAATAAAATACCAATTTGTTGGGAATTTAGAGATGAATCTTTAAGAAAAAAAGTCTAAAACAACAAATATTCAAAGAGACATCATTGAAGTGTACATAGACGCCGTTCTTTCTATGACCTTGGCGACTCTTTCTTATCTTTGCATTCCTCGCTGTTCTCCCTAGTCACCGATTCGAATAGACGAATTAGTACAGCAGTTATTATTTGTTTGGTAGAACAGAATGTTGCTGTAATCATCCATTATTTATCGTCTGCGAAGTTAGATGACGAAGTGACCGACAAATGTCATTCGTTTGACGTTTGTGCTCTTGTTGTTCAGTCAGATGTATGAAAAAAACGAACTATTTCATCAAATTGTAGAAAATTTAAATCAATTTGATATCGTCATTTCGAAAGTCAACTTTGAGCATTGGAATGAACCTAACGAAAATAATAAAGCATATATTGAATGCATATAGATTACTCTTTGAACATAATGAACTTTAAGAGATATATTTGAAGATTTCATCTCGAGCTAGGTTTCTTTCTTCGAACAATACATATTCGATTTGTATCAGAGTAATAGAACATTGTACTATTCATTATCATATAAACTTGTCGATAATTGAAGATCGAATACCATGAAAGACCGACAATTATAATCATTTTTTGACTATCAGAAAATATTCCTTGCTATCTATGATCGACGTTATGTATAGAAATTTATGCTTCTTAGATGAGTGAACTGAGTTAATTAGATGAAGTCATTTCAACACATTTCTCAAGTGAATAAAGTTCGCCAACAAACATTTTCGTATGTACAACAAAATGAACTTGATTTATTGCAAACTTAGACTTTATGGCCAATGCTATTTTCTTTCTAATAATAGAAAGAAAACATGCCAAATAGTTGAATGTAAACCAATTCTTTTAATACTATTATCCTTTCATCTGGCTTCTAAATCGAATTTTTCCGTTGTCCTGAAAAATTACAAGGATTTGAAAGATCAAGGGCTGTTTCATCTTTATGTCATCTCTCTCTACTTAGAGGATATGTTTTTTTTCGTCAATATATTCTATTTAATCTTTTTCATTGATGCCTATTAAGAATTGTAGCGCACAGTATCTACCTCTCATCCAACATAATTATGGTCAATTGTATTGCTTCTCATAGAATTAAAACAGATATGCGTGATGGGTTTGTTATCATGTATTCTTTTTTTTTGTTATTGCTATTTTTTTTTCGAGAAAGTAAACGATGAATCTTTTTTAGGTTGCTAATGTTGAATTAAGATTATCATGCCACTTCAGAATTCAAAATTTCTTTAACGGTAATCGATAAATCTATTAGAACAACTTGAGTTATACATAAAATTTAGTTCATTTAACACAGTTTCATAATAGAAATTTTCGAATCTTATAGACAGAAGTTGAACTTCGTGTAAAAATTCATGTCTTCATTTACAACGCTATTCCAAATAAAGAAAACCAATATTAGTTTAATTTGAACATCAGATTTTAGTGATTATTGCAGATATGAATAAAACAGTTTTGTGTATAACGTATTTAATAAATAAATATTAGTTCAAAATTCATTAAGTTATTCCTTTAGACTTTTTCTGATTCTTTGAACTTGAAAGGAATGCTGAAGTATAAGAGTAAAAATTTGCACTCAACTCCTCCTCACCTGCAAATCGTGACAAACATAACCATGGGAACGTCACAAACCGTAACTAAAGATGTGCGGACTCATAGTTCTTGGTTTCAGTCTATAAAAACCTATTCTAACATTTATTTGCGTCTCATCTAAAAAAAACTCTTCAATACTTCTTTTTTTATATTTATTTAGTCAACAACTAGTACTTTTATGATTCATAAGATAATTCACTTCAAATCACAGAATATTTAGCTGAATCTTCAGTTCCGATTTGGACAACCTTTTTTTTTCTTGTAGTGTCAATGCCGGTCTTGGTAACTTTTCTTTCCCGTGGTTCTGCACATTTCTAACCGTGACAGACATTGTTGATAACGATGATGAAGAAATGTATGATGCGCTAAAAGCTTTATCTGTATATAGTTGAAAAGAAAAAAAAAAAGAATTAAAAACAATCAATATCATATTTATTTTTCTTTATACGCTTATATGTTGTACATGTGAGAACAGTATAGAAAAGGAGTAATCGCTCGTTTGTTTTCTTTTTTTTTTTTTAATATTTTTTATTTTTAGCTTGAAAAAAAACACAAACAAAAGAAGAGTAAACTTAAAATATCCAAGACGGAAAGAAACGTAAATTTTAGCAAGCTCTAGGATGAATAAAGACTGCACATAAGAGTTTTATTTTTCTTTCTTTTCTATGGCAATATATTAATAGCATCTTGTATCCATTGTTCAGATAATTGACTTAAATCTAATGCATTAAATAATGCTTCAAATGTTTGACTTAGAAGTAAATCTTGTTCGAAATGTTTTAAGATTTTTGTACATGCTTCCATAATAAACGCATCATTACAACGAAGAAATTGTGCCAATTGTTGATTGTATGGGAGGGTCGATGTCATATCAAAACGCTATAAAACAAACAAGAAAATAATTTATTTCGAATGATAAAAAAAAAACTTTATTTTACCGGATTTAACATATGAACAAAAAATGCATTGACAAGACCAAAAAAGACAAGAGTTGTTTTATAAGTTGCAAATGATTTTAATGCTTTTGAAGCAATTCTAGAAAAGATAAATAATTAGATTTAATATTTTGTTTTCATTTTAAATTAATTTTTCATTACTTTGTTCGATCATTTGATGTATTGACTGATCGAATATGTGTAGTAAGAAGAAGTTTTTGAAGAAAAATACGACGATTTTTTTCCCAATCATTTGGTTTCATTATAATTAATGATAATGTTGTTAGAAAGAAAGGACCATCAACTTCAAATACTTCATTTATTAATAAATCAGGACGACTAAGATAATTTTGTAATAATTTTTCTTCACGTTCAATTTGTCGAGTTCTACAAATCAAAATAAGAGAAGAAGAAGAAAAATGAATACAAAACAATCTAATTTTTTATTCATACGTTGTAAGAACATAAAGAATTGTATGCATTTCATATGGAATCAAACGTATATTTGATTCTCGTCCACCACCACCTGTATCTTCACTAAATGATTGTACATCAGCAAAACGAAGTAATAAAAGTTTTATATCATGAATTGATAATGTTGGTGATGTTTCACGAATACCTGTTGCTTCGATTATATTCGTATCATATCTAAATTAATAAAACAATAGTGTAATAATTATAAGGAAATTTTTTCTCAAAAAAAATCTTGTCTATAAATACTTATCACAAGTTCTCATATAATCTTTGAGTATAAATAAATAGGTTTAGAATTATAGTCTATGACTACAAGCAAAAATAAACATTTCTGATTTTCATGTAGATAGAAGGACGTATTAGCCTGAATTCTTGATAAGTCTTATGAGAAAAGAAAAATTATCGAATAATACCGAGTTGACTGACCTTCGCTCAAGAGGTACTGAATTTTCAAGTTACAAAATTTAAGGCTTAAGCTATCTATAGATTTAATTCAATAGATTCTACACTAATCGACAAACTCAAGCATAATAGGTAGGACCTGGTGAGACTAGAAAAAGTCTAAAAGAATAAGTCCCCATAGATCTTCCTTCCGGAGTTATGAACGGTTTACTGAGTTTTCGGTCCATGGGAAGGTATTTAGCAAAAATCGAATGACGAAGTTTTGATCTGAAATTTTGCCTATATATAGGTCCCATGATCCTTAGTAAGTGCTAAAAGTTTCAACGAAAATGGATCTTACTTTCTCAAGATAATGAATTAGAAAGAAGTATCCACATTTCACAGAAAAAAACAGTTTTTCTTATATATTCATTATCTCGAGAAAGAAAGATCCGTTCTCATTGAAACTTTTAGCGCATACTAAGGACCATGGGATCTACATATGGACAAAATTTCATCATTCGATTTTTTTCTAAATATCTTGCCATGAGTCGAAAACCCAGTAAACCGGTCATAGCTCCGAAAGAAAGACCTATAGGAACTTATCCTTTTAGGCTTTTTCTAGCCGTGCCAGGTTCTACTTATGGAC